CTGCTTTGAAGAAACATTATCCTGCAAGGTTTACACTTTTCAATTTGCCTCTGTGGTCTGCATTCTGCATGCATTTCCATGGAGAAGCCGACACCACAGCTTGACTAGAAATCTTTTCTGCTTCAAGATTAACCTCAAAGCATCCATTTTCCCCTCTCTGGGTAATCACTTGATAAATGCACCCACAAAACCTCTACACACATCTATTCCAGTGTACAGGTGCATCAACAGTCTTGAATCACTATTAGGAGAAATATTATCCTTGACGGGAAGTAGTGCTACCTTTTCATTTCCAGATGTCTAAAGTTGAAGGATGCGGATTTCCTGGGAAGACAGACATCGGACAGAAATATCATGGATCAGGATGTGGGTAAAAGCTTGCTTAGCTATGTTGCATTGCCCTCCACAGTAGTTCATCTTCGCAAAAGTACGAGATTTGCATGGGCTAAGAGGGCATTGATTTGAAGGCCACTCATTCAGATAACACTGGGAAACTTGTACTGATGATGTGCCCATTGCCTGGCTTTGTGCTTGCTACATCCAAATACATTTTACTTTTGAGCCCCCAGCAATTTTATGCCACAGAGGAAACTGACATGAGATAGAGTGTGTGTATGTGTGTGTGTGTATTTTCTAAGTTACTTTGCTATTAAGGACATGAATATATTGTGACATTTGGGAATGTCTTTTTGTTTTTCTCCTCAAATTCAAGGAAATACACTACTATTAAAGTAATTAGGCACAACACTTACAAATGACAGCATCCACCACCCCTTAAAATGATAAAAGACGAGTGTGTTATTCCATCTCTCATGGACGCACATGTAATGTATGTAGTATAACAGTGACAGTAGGTCTCAGAAATATCAAATGTCAATGACTCTTCATTACCGTTTGCATAACTTATTACACTTAATTATCTTAACAAGCCTAGGAGGTAGCAGTTACTCTTACCTTTTTACAGAGTAAGAAACCAAAGCTTAGAAAATTTTTGTTACTTTGGCCATGGACAGAGGACTCCTAGAAGTTGAAGATGGATATAAAACAAGTGTTCTGGTTCAAGACAGTATGACTCCAAATGTATCTTCTTAGTCCTTGTCTCTACTTAATATCATCCCGTTTGATTCTCACACAGAACTTTGAAGTGTGCAGAATGAAAAATGGTTGTCTTTGGATATGCAAAAAACTAAAACACAGAGCATGGAAATGATAGAAATCTGGCCTCTTCCTCCTGCCTCAATGTTTGGTGATATGATGGGACAATAAGAGAAAATCAAGTCATATTAATCAATGAAAACAGACAGAATCATCATCAGTCTTGTGTTAGTGAAGTTCCCAGGAAAGATCCATAAATTCCATTTAAGGAAAAATCACGTTCATGGACCTTTATACACTTTGAATGGTTTAAAAAATACTTTAATATAGAAACAAACCAGAGTAAGAATTCTTCAAAGTAAACATGATAGAAATTAATGTTTCTTTGGAGGAGTGGAGTTAAATTATAAAAAAGTCTAGGGCCAACTACATTTATTCTGAACAATGGCTTTTCCTAAGAGTTGGTGAGAAGACTTTTAGAAATAGTCCACCACGATCCCTGTATTGCCATGCCATTGATCTGAAAGGTACCCCAAAAATCTAAATATTTTTCAACCCAGACTCTAAAATGTAGGCAGCATAAAATGAGCCCATGGGGCTCATTGGCTTAGCATGTAATAATTTCTGTGCTAAGCTTCTATATAGATTATTTGGTGTGACCCTCACAATGATTCTGATGTGTATTGTAGATTTAAAACTTGAGGGTAAGCAGGTTAAATGATTTCCCCAAAGATATGGGTAATTGTTTCAGTGTAGATTGGAAATATCCCATCTGTAAAACTGTAACCCACACATTTCTCTGCCCAAATACACACATATATGCCATGATTCTGTCATTGTTGAGAAATTTATTTATTTTTCTCTATGAAGGTGTTTCTCATTTTAAAAGTCACCCACTAGCAGGTATTTTTAGTGATGATAGGAATTTTTGACTATTTGTTCTCTGTTTCCAGTGCCTAGGCAGTGACTAGAACAGAATTAGCTTAATGTCACACCTGATTTCATTTTTCTGATAATGGTGTTACTTTATAATGGGGAGAGGGGTGTGAAGCATTTCTCCTAAACACACAGACAGACAGACACACAACACACACACATACACACACACACAAGACAACTCAACAAAGCAAAACAAACGATTTCACGGACTTCTGCATGGAAGAGTTCACCCTTTCGCATGAATCTCTAGACTATCAGCTCTCAGTAACTCTGGAGTCTTTTTCTTGCTATTCATTCTTTTTTTTTTCTTTTTTTCTTTAACTTTTCCTGAATGAATTGTAGACCTAGAGAAAAGGTACAGAAAGAGTTCTGTATACCCCTCACTCGGTTTACCTTCATTTGAACACCTTATGGAATCTTAGTACAATGATGAAATTAAGTAAATGAGCATCGAGATCTATATTTAGTGTTAATGTTTTACCACCCCCTAACTGTACTACTGCTGTCACTTCATATCTAGTCTGGTCTCCTGATCTTCTACATCACTTCCTCCACTTCAATCTGGGTCACCAACAGAGGAAAGGCCCACAGCATAGGATTGGCCTCTAACTGAAATACCTTCTCTAGTTTCTGCAGGAAAAGCCAACACTGCCCATCTGGGCGTTCAAATGACGTATGCAGGTTGTGCCCCAGGTTGCCTCTCCAAAGTTAGCTTGATGACTGAGTTGTCCAATCAGATCTCCTCCTAAAATGTATTTGTTTCACTTTCTTCCTATTACCTGGAGGGGTTTCCTCCAGCTCTTTTACATCCCACGCAATATTCAAATACCTACAAATATTGTACTTTCATGTGCTCATCTTTGCCAGCTAGTTGATGAGTTATTTTCGAAAGTGAGTCTTATTTTTTTTCTTTGATATTGTTCCCAGAGTCTGATGGAATGTGTTACACAACCAACATGAGGTGCATTTTTAAAAAAAATTTTCTAACTGTAGATTTTGTAGAACCTCTGAGTCACATTGCTGAGTAGAAATTCCAGTTTCATAGGACTATCAACCGGTCAATAAATGGTATTACTACTTTTTCTTGTACAGTGACCATAATTCACACTCTTAAAAATACTTTGATTGGCAAGTTCTTGCAAAAGCTCTATCCTATTTCAGTAAACATGGAGCTATCCTGCTCAGATCTGCCCTTCAGGTTGAAAACATTCTTCCCCCCTGCTGCTTGAGATAGTTGATTATTGGTATCTCAGGGCTGAAGATCATCCAGCTGAAGAGAGCTGCATGGCTCAAGGCCAAGGCTCCATTCTCAGAAGGGTTCCCACATCCAATAACTGGACTGTGCTGCAGTATAAAGGTCTGGCCCCATTTCCTCAATGACCATCTCAGGTATAGAGTGTCCAGTGGAGTCTGAGTGCATCACAGCCCAAGGGCTCTTTCCACCTCATAAGGTCCTGTTTACTTCCCCACAAATATCAGTTAGAGAGAACTCCCCAGTAAAATTTCTCCAAGAAATCTATATGGGAGTCTACTTGTTAAGCAACTCCTCTGTGCCACTTAGATACCGTTTCTCATTAAATCAGATAATTTATTTATTTGCCCATCCATTCAATTATAAATGTTTGATAATTGTAGTAAAACCTTGGTTTGCAACCATAATTCATTCCAGAAACATTCTTGTAATCCAGAACACTTGTATATCAAAGCAAACGTCAAGAACCATTGGCTCAGTTGTGATCATATGCTACTTGTATTGCAAGACATTGCTCGTTGATCAAGTTAAAATTTACTAGAATTATTTGCTCATCTTGTGGAATACTCGCAGAACAAGTTACTTACAATCCAGGGTTTTACTGTATTATGTGTCCAACACTTACTGAATTAAGGACATCGACTCTGTCCTCACAGAACTTGAAGATTGTCACCACACCAGACATCTCCATTTGCTCCCAATTTTAGCAGTTCCCAGAATTTCACAAGTCTCTCGGACTACTTTGCCTTTACTTCTGCTTGATTTATTGCTTGGAGTTCCTACCTGCCATTCTCCTGATTAAACTCTACCTGTCTTTAATAATGTAAGTCAAATGCAATGTCTCACAGAAAGCTGTCCTGTCCCTGACCACCCTCTATGTGGAGTAAGGAAGAGGTCTGGACATGGAGCTATTGCATTCACTAAATTTCTGTGTGTGTGTGTGTGTGTGTGTGTGTGTGTGTGTGTGAAGGGAAGCCCCTCCTCTTCCCTTCCATTCCCAAACTGTAGACTTCTTCAGTGTAGATTTCATCTTAGTAGATTTACTTCCTGTCAGGCAAGCTGTATGTACTTAATTGCTGAATGAATGAGTGAATAACACATAGAAAATGAATCTGAAAAAACAGTTTTGATTCTGTTATCCATAAGGTGTAATTACTTAAACATGCTGATTAATTGGTGGTTCCAATCTAATTTTATATTCTGAAGAAGTAGATAAAATGGATGAAATATTCCTCTGATATTTCTATGCAGTTTTTCCAGCAGCCATTTTTTTTCAGGTACATTCAGTTGTAACTTAATGCTACATAGCTTAAATGCTGTGTGTTATATTATTAATTTTGTATTTCATGATTCTTTGATATGTTTCCTTTCCATATTCTCCAAACCCACATGATTCTGATAGATATGTTTAAAATGAAAACAGAAAAGGAATCTTAAATAATATTGATTCTAAAAAGGTTATCTTTATATAGTACTCAATCCTAGCAGTACTCTTTCTTTAAAGAGACTTAGATATTTTTGAAGTTATGACAGAGTAGTTTATCTCCATATTTTTGAAGAGATTTTTTTCCCTTATTCCCACACATGGATTTCTGTATGATATGGTTGGCAAAATTTAGCTCTTGGCAAAGGATAATGTGTTAATTATTATCTTTTCTCTCTCTCTCTTTCTTTTTTCTTTTATTTTCTTTTTCTTCTTTTTTTTTTTTTTTAGGTACGTCTGTCACTAATGTAACAGCCACTGATGCTGATGACCCAGTTTATGGAAACAGTGCAAAGTTGGTTTATAGTATCTTGGAAGGGCAGCCTTATTTTTCCATTGAGCCTGAGACAGGTTTGTGGCCTAAATTTTGAATTCTATTTACCATGTTATTGCTTCAGGGAAACACTTTTCTTGGGATTTGGATTATGAAATGTCATGGTTAAGTACTTCACTGCCTGTATCAATAATATTTGAATGTGTTATTCCTGTGCAATGTGTGGTACATGGCAAGCCCAGCAATCATTTTGATGCTGATTAAAACAAATTGCAGACCCTTTATAGAATATCACCTATTTAACAGATGGCCTGGCACCATTTTTCATCCTGGGGGGAAAATGTGCTTATACATTAGGTACACTTAAATATCAGATTTAAGAATCAAGTCAGTTACTTATTTGTTCTGTGGCACTTTGCAAGTAATATTTATAAATCGTTTTAAGTTTCAACTCCTCTACCTATAAATTGGGTGTAGAATCTATTTAGTAGTGTTATAATGAAAATCAAATCAGGTAATAAATATCAACCATATAGTGCATGACATGTAGTAATCATCCAATGGATGGATATTATTATATTTGCTATTGGATTACTTATTTATAAATCAGGGTACTGGTATCTACCCGCTAGAGATCTTTATGAAGATAGTAGTAGTAGCAGCAGCAGCAGCAGCAGCAGCAGCAGTAGTATTGCCAGTATTAAACCCAGCCGATATCCTGGATCTCTTGGTACAGATTTTAGAAATCATTAAGTTATTTTCAAAAACAAAACAAAAATGTTTATAGCACATTTAAATATTATTATAAATAGCAATATCTTTTGCATACAGTTTTACTCTGTATCTTGTGGTTCGGTATGCAAATTTCCAAGTTGACAAATTCAATACATAGTGACATATATGTATAATATAATTTCTTTGATTCATGAGTTTTCAGTATTATTGCGATAAATTTCCATGTCTTACCATTAAGTCAATTATTAATTAAATTACAAATTTAAAACCTCTCTTTGCTTTTTTTTAACTCAAAGAGTAAAATCCTCATTTTAAAAGTGAGAAAAAATACATTTATATATAAATAGGTCATGGCTTAAAATTGAATTTAGATTTAGGAACAGGAAAGAACTCTTCTAAAAGACATTAATTAGGGGCATAATTACATGTTCTTCCTCAGTTAAGAGGGAAGTCTGTCATAAACTTCATTTCATTTAGGCTCCTTGATGACCCTAGGTGAAGTGTCAGAGAAGGCAGTCAGCTGGGGGAGCAGGGGGAGAGAGAGAGAGAGAGAGAGAGAGAGAGAGAGAGAGAGAGAGGGAGAGATACAGTGAAGTCTGGAGATGTTCTTTTGGCCAAAGTCACAGTGACAGAGTTGGGAACAGTACTGGGACTCATACCCAGGTCCTTAATTTCAAAGCCATCTTTGAATTTTACTTTTCCCAGGGAATAAATATGGTACAGGGGCTTCTGTAAAACAGAACTGCATTGATTGCTTAAGTGGAGTTGAATCATTTTCTCCTTTGCTCCTTGACTATTTGTACACTTGGATCCTTTTGTTCATCAGGCCCAGTATAATCCAGCAAAAATGTATTCAGCATCCACAGTGTGCCAGACATTGAATTAAATATAAGGAGAAAAATTCACAAAGGCTAATGTCAGCCTACAAGTATCTCACAATCCATTTTGGAAGACAGATTTTTGCTTTCAACATAAATACGAGGGAGCATGGTGATAACATTTAAATAATTCATATATCAAGAATAAATTACTGTGGGGTACAGATAATAAAAGTCCCCTACTAAGTCAGAGGATTTGGGTACTTTTAAGTCTCATTGACATATATTGCCATTTGCTTAATCAAATGTCAGCAACATTTAATATTTACATTTTTACCCAGGATAATGAGTATCTATCTCGACATACATTTATTTTAGCCTTACCGTTTCTGATTTGAAAGATACAGAATTATCTGGTTTTATATTTTAGAAAGTTTATTCAGGTACTACTGTGAGAAATAAAATGGAGAGATTGATACTTCAGTAATTGTTTAATAAATATTGGTTGAGTGAAGTTGAGATTTTTAACTAAAGCAGACACAGTGCAGAAGGAAATCAAGGCTAAATTCAATAATCAGCAGTCAGCTTAAGTTTTTTTGCTGCAACACAAATAGGTGTAAGTGAAATATAAGCATTTTTGTGTGAATGCCTGCATAATTACACTTGGGTGTGTTCAAATGAAAACAAAGTATACGTTGTTCCATACAATTTAAATTTGCCTTTGTGAGTCCTTTTCTCTGTTTTTTTAAAAAAATTAGTTTTGAAACTGGTAGGAATTTTTTGAGTGTTTGTGGTAGATAAGGGCATAAACGTTTTACAGAAATTGATTAAGAATACTTTTTAAAACTTTTATGTCGGGAAAATATGGAAAAAAAGGACAAAGACCGTTGAGCATTTGGGCTTTTTATTTTGTAAGCAAATGGGAAGTAAACACACTTTCTGGCAACCAAAAGATGTGTACCAGTTACGTCTTCTGGAGAAGAAGACATTGAGACAGAATGAGGAGAAGTGGCTTAGCTCTGAAGGGCTATGAAAGATCAAAGAAGCACTGTCTTAGATCTGGCTGCTATAACAAAATACCTTAAACTAGGTGGCTTAGAAGAAACAGAAATTTATTTCTCACAGTTCTTGGGGCTGGAAGTCTGAGATGAGGATGCCTGCATGGTAGGATTCCAGTGAGGGCCCACTTCCAGGTTGTAGATGGCAGACTTGTATTCTTGTAGAAACAGTGAGATAGCTCCCTGGCCTCTTTGTATATGGGCATTAATACTATTTTGTGGGCTTCACCATCATGACACATTACCTCTGAGAGCCCCTGCCCCCAAATATCATCACATTGGGGAATACATTTCAACATATGAATTTTGGGAGGGACAGAAACACCCATTCAATGAGACGCATGAAACAGGATTAGGCAGGGAAGCCTGTCCTTTTATGATGCATAGCCGATACCCGTGCAAGTTAAGCAGAGAGGAAACAGGAGAGGCAGTGAAGATTTGACAGCATCTTGGCCAAATGTGTGAGGTCCCTGGAGCAAAAGGGACTCTTAAAAGAAATCTTATATTTTACAAACATGGGTAGGCGTTAATACCGTCTTACCATGCTCATTTGGTTTCAATGTTCCTGGGAGGCTGTCCTCAGCTGGCAAACTGAAACTAACCCTAAAGAAGCCTTACCTGGAAGATGTCGGCTAACTGCATTCTTAGGCAAATTCTTGGTTCAAGAGAAATCCAAGCAGTGGTTCTCTGTGGCTGTCACAACATGTTGCAAACACAAAAAAGTAAATGAATTTGCCCTACCAAATCAGCAAATGGGATGTTTAAAACAGTAATATACAGGATTAGTAGTAAATTATTTAGTCAAGATCTAATAGTAAAAGTATTAATAATTACATTTATTGAAAAAAGTTGAAGGCTATGTATCAAAACCATTAAGAAAGTCCACTGATTTTAGGGGCACCTTAATGGCTCAGCTGGTTAAGCATCCGATTTTGGCTCAGGTCATGAGCTCTCAGCTCGTGAGTTCGATTCCCCGCATTGGGCACTGTGCTGACAGCTCGGATTCAGATTCTGTGTCTCCCTTGATCTCTGCCCCTCCGCTGCTCTCTCTCAAAAGTAAACAAACATTTAAAAAGTTAAGAAAAAAATGACCACTAATTTCGACCTAGAAATTTAAATTCTAGCACAATAAAGAAATACTCAGAATGAGTCCAAACTCAATACAAAAGACCTATATAACCATATACCTCTTATAGAGTGCAAACCCTCTACATAATTGGTCTGCCCATGACTTCAGGAAGTGATACAAAATAACTGAGACAGAAAATGTTGGCTTAAATACCAATATACATTTCTACTAATGTGGAATTATTCTTCAGTTCCTTTTTTTTTTTTTTTGACATTTATATATTTTTGAGAGAGAGGGACAGAGTGTGAGCAGGGAAGGGGCAGAGCCGAAGCAGTCTCCAGGCTCCAAGCTGTCAGTACAGACCCTAAAACAGGGCTTGAACCCACAAATGGTGACCTTATGACCTGAGCCGAAGCCCAATGTTCAACTGACTAAGCTACCTGGGTGCTCCCCTCCGTTCTTTTTTGTTGTTGTTGTTGTTGTTGTTATTGTTGTTAAAAAACCAGCATAGTGAAATTTGTATTTTGGTAATAATTTTGATAAATTGTTTCTCTTTAAGTTTAAACAATTTTTTTAAACACTTAAAATTTTTAGAGCAGTGTTTGGTTTAGAATATAATTGAAAGAGTGTGACAGAGATTTCTCATACATCCTTTTCCCCACAAATGCATAGTCTCCCCCATTACCAGTATCCTTCACCAGCATGATACACATTTTACCTAGGATGAACTTACACTGACACATAATAATCACTGAAATCCATAGTTTCCCTTAGAGTTTATTTTTGGTGTTGTTCATTATATAGTTCTAGACAAATATGTAAGGATATTTAATATTATAATGTACATATTTTCACTGCCCCAAAAATCCTCTGAGCTCTTTCTGTTCATTCCTCCCTTCCCCCAGCAACCCTTGGCAACTACTGATCTTTTTATTGTGTCCATCGTTTTGCCTCAGAATGTCATATAGTTTTCATCAAGAGTATATAGTTTTTTTAAATTATCTTCTGTCACTTAGTAATATGCATTTGAGTTTCCACCATGTCTTTTCATGACTTGATCACTCATTTTGAAAAGAGTTAAATAGTATTCCTTGTCTGGGAATACCACAGTGGATTTGTCTATTCATCGGCTATAGGACATATTAGTTACTTCCATGTTTTGCAAATTATGAATTAAGCTTCTATAAACATCATGTGCAGGTTTTTATTAGGATGTAGGTTTTCAACTCCTTGGAGTAAATACCAAAGAGTTCAATTGCAGAATTATATGGTGAGAATATATTTCGTTTTGTAAGAAATCACCACATTGTCTCCTAAACTGTCTGTACCATTTTGCATTCCAACCAGCAATTAGTGGAAGTTCCTGTTGCTTCATATACTCACCTAAATTTGATGTT